CAAAGGGATGAACAGAAAATTTATGGTCATTTGTTAGCTTTATTTCTTTCATTTCAGAGGTCACATTTGATTGGATTTTACTGGCACTAACGTTATGACGAAAACTGTATTTCAGTACTCACTCAGCAGGATGTTCACACTAATGGACTAATTAATTACTGATGAAAAAAGATCAAAATCAAATAATCAATATGAAGTAAGCCATTTTGTCGAAGTTTTTTTGATTAAGCTACTTGAGAGCAAAGCGAATAAAGAGAAAATAAAATTTTTATTTATATTTTATCATGTTCAATGATGGCTAATTCCTTCATCTTCTAACAGAGTACACTTGCGTTGCTATACGATCTAACGGTTTTCGTTTCGACTTTGTTTTAGTAGTGGAATTTTTTTTTCTTCAGAGCCAATCACGCCTGATTTTCCAATATACTCGCGTGTATGCAAAGTATTCAATGGTTATTGTGTTTTGCTTCTTCCTCACATTTCATTTTTAATCTCCTGTGTTTTTAGAGTGCCGCCATTCTTTTTAATTCATGAGAAAGTTTTTAATTTATTTAGGAAAATTACGTGAATGGTTAGTCTTAGGATGAATGTTTGGGAGTCGAGATAATTTCGATGTATATAATTTCGTAGGTTAATGACACTGTACTATTTGTAATTTTGTGTGGGAGAGATTAATAATCAGAACAGAGGTTTTTCTTAAGCAAATAAAAAAGGTGATCATTTTACCTATTAGTATGATTCTGAAAACGACAAAAACTGATATTTATTTCCGGTTGGTATATGCCTGATTGCATGTAAATATATTATGTGCGTATATACATTTTTATGTATGTATATATGTAGGAAATGATAAAAAACTTCCAGCAACCTTCATTTATTTTATTTTCGGGAAGGAACATGCCTGAAGCTGTCTATCAGTGTGTGCACTCATCACCAACGTCTTCAGCCTATTTCGCTAAATATCATTTTCGGATTTTTTTTAAATTGAAGCAGCAGATAATGGTACTGTCCAGTTGATTTTATCCTTATCAATTTCCCTGTCCAGAAATGAGTTTTAGATGTTGCAAGCAGTGTTTATGAGTGAGTGGGTAATAAGGACAACCGTTTTACGCTTTGAAAATCTTAAAATTCTAGTCATCTTGCATGGAAACTTTTGTGACGTTACGTTCTATCTTACATTAAACCAATAATCGAAAGATGCAACTCGGTAAATAAACAATCATGGTAGGGGATAGTGGGCTAGATTACCAAAGCAAATATCTCTTAATGATGTCTTACATTTAATAATTTTGATTCTAGAAATTGTTGTAGGGAAGGGAGAAGGGTGGTAATTAAATATAATATTTGCTGATTTGAAATTAGTTTTGTCACAATATCGATGGAGAAAATTTATACATCTATATTTATGTATACATGTGAGCATGTTTCCCAGTATATTTTGCGCACATGAATGTGTATGTCTTTTTTTGGTATGTACTTGCCTTCTTGTACACTACCGTCGCGTCCTGTGATTTGATTGAATTCATGCACCTGGTTAACAAAGACGATATCGTACGCTCCATTGTTAGCGTAGTGATGTCACTATATATTTATTGGTTTTTGTCCTTGAAACTTTCAAAATTTAATGTAAACTGACAATGAAATAAAAAAACGTTATATTAAAGAATGATTTTGTGGTATTTATCGAACGAGCTGACAGGAAAAGGCAGGTGCTGTTTCCGGTGTAATATATTAATCATTTACTGTTTTAGAATTACTGTCCTCATTCGTGACGACAAATTTTTCTTGCATTTTCCATTCTCAGTTTTTTAATGGGAAAAAGTATGTTAAGATTGGTTTCTGGTTTTTGTTGTGCATTCTTTCATTTCTAATGTATGTTATACGTGTGTGTCTTTAATTCTGGTTATATACGCCCAGCAGTGGAATGTCCAAGTTCACAAGATGTGCACTTTCGATGTAGCTCTTCCCCACCCGCCAACCTATCTAGCTATAGAAATTTGTAACTTGACCCATTTTGACATCATACGTTTTCTGGACAAGCCTTGGATAACTGCTGCTTATTGCCATCTTTTGGTGGTTTCTTTTATTTCCATTGAACGCATTATTATTCCAAGTTAAAAGTTTTTTTTTACATTTATTAGAACATGTATAACTTGTAGGGTTGAGTGGATTGGAATACTGTTCAGTTTTTAGACTCCTTGAAGGATTATATACTGGATAGGATAGTGTTCCTGAGTTTTTTGAGTTCAAGAGCAAGTAAAGTGACAAAGTTCTTAGTAACTCCTTGTCCATGATATATGATATGTACTTAATATTTAAGGTAAATCGATATGCAGTTAATTTATCGAAAATGGAAGGAAAAAAACTGAAAAAAATGTTGATTTTAATTTCATAATAAACATTCAGTTTGCTAAACATATTTTATGAGTCACTGTAATATTTCTGCTAATGTTAAAATAGTTTGGTCACAAGAAAGTTCCATATGATAATTTATTTCGACTAGACAGATAAGAAACGTATTGCTGTTGATTGTAATGAGTGTAAGTAGACGTGTAAAAGATGCCTATTTTCATTTTTTTTGTCCCTTGGCTTTTCTCACCTTTTCCTGAACTTTATCCCGTCTATCCAAAGTTTCCGTTACCGTATGATTTTTCTTGTTTACGATATTTTATATTCTTGCGAATATTCATTTCAATGAATTTAATAATTTAATAAGTGGTATCACTTATTTTAATAATAAGAAATAATTTAATAAGTGGTATCATGAGCTTTCATAAGAACGTTTGTGCATAATGCTTTTCCCGAAATACGTTTACATCATTATTAGAAAATGCGTTGTACAAAATGATCGAATGCTGATGACTCATCCACCAAATATTCGATTCTTGATCCCTGCTTATGTCGTGTGATGAAGCATGTGTCAAAAAATGACATTCTTGTTCCTCATTCTGCAATTATAGCTTGTACTATTTAGTTTCAGATGGCAGTAGAAAACAGAAGTGATGGTCGGGTGATGTTTGTTGCCATATTTATTGCTTCCTCTTTATTGATTTCTACCCAATGCTTTACTGCACTGAAGCATAATTCTCTTGGAGATATTCTCAATGACGATACAATCAATGTAAGTCGCTTTTCATTTCTTGTAATTTCTCGTGATGGTTGCTTAACTGATGTAGTCTTAACAGACTGCGCTCACTGCCAGTAACTCACGTAAGAGCGTGCCTTTTGTCATAAGTTATGGTAGCCGCCAAGGCTTGTGTCAGATATTTATGTATTCCGTAATCGTTCCAATGACGATTGTGATATTTAGCTTTTGCAGGTATGGCTGCTAAATAGAGTGTCTTAAAGTTGGAATAGAAGTAATAGTAATGGTTTATTTGGTAGTGGCTTCTAACTTTAATATTAATCGAATAACTCATTTCAAGTCCACGGATTATGTTTATTCATAATATGAATTCGTCATGTGGCGCTAATACTAGCCATTTTCATTGATTACAGCTGAAAGAATCATCGGGTAGAGCAGAAATGAAACTTCCAGCGAAACCGGTTTTTTTGAAGAAGCATGGCGTCGAAGGTCTTAATTATAATCTCGACAATAAATCACGTCCCTTCATTTATTGTGATGTAAGTTTCAGATACGTACGAAAGAAAAATAACGGTTGATTTCAGAGCAACAACAATTTAGTTCCGTTAAGATAGTGTTTCTTGTCGTTCGAATCATCATCCAGGCATTTTCATGAAATTGCAGTTCATTTTGATGTAATTCATGCAGCCATGTAACAGGAATGTACTAAAGAAATTAGTGTACAAAGTTTTTCTAGTTTTATGATGTTAGTTCATGTGATCCAATGGAACGGAGTTGTCCGACCACGAAAATGTGTTATGCTTCAGTAAACGATCATCGCTTAGGTTGTATGGCTGCTTTGGTAAATAACTCATTAACACGGGTAACTTTTTTATTCGTTTCTTATTTTCAGGAGCACTGTTAACTTCATGTATTAATTTCTTTATATATTTTTTGTTTCACACTTGTTCATCTCTCCTTGAAATCCAAAAAAAAAACTCTTACCTAGTGATATTTTGGGACTTTTATTGCTTCAAATCTACCGTTTGTAGATTTATCCATTTTCACTTTAATGCTTTTTATTCAGGGTGAGAGTCATAAATAAAAATATGAAGTCTTTATGTTTAAAAATTTAAATGATTACAAGTAAAATGAAACGCAAGAATATGTGAGACTGTTAATACAACTCGCAGTTATATAAATACAAATTGCAAATTGCTTTCTTACAGCAGGTGACTTTAAAAGGGTGCTGGATGCATGATGGTAATTTGGGTAACTGCGACAACAGTCAATGTATTGCTGATGAACGACCAACTGGACATGGTAATGCTGCTTTATTTTGTTGTTGCAGCACTCACTATTGTAATCGACGTGTACAGTTTCCTCCACAACGTACAGCCACTCGTAAGTTTACTTTTTATTAGTATACGAGCAGATTACATGTGTTTCACTTGGTATGAAGGCAAATCACCGATTTACTTACCGAGCGATTTACTTACCTATTATTTTATTCTATTTTTGTATCCACGGTTTGAATGAATATTTTACAACGTCTCGACATATTTTGTTTAAACCATTCATCTTTAATAAATTATAATACTGCCTTAAATGATGGAAAATGTATTGTTATGAGAAGAGTGTAGCGATGAAATTCATTACATACGTATTAAATATATTACTTAAAATGGATGTTCAGTTTCCATTCTTTATCGAACATAATGTATTTCATATTTAGTCAGCTGTTTAGATGATCCAGTTATTTAATCATGAAATAATTTTTCTCTTCCAGGAAACGCTACTTCCAAAATAATTGTATCTGTTTATCAATTGGAATTTTGCCATAGCTTTTGTAAACAAAAAAGGAAGATTGTTTTAGCACCACCGACTACGGTAGAACCAACGGAAGTGGAAGATCCAGGATTCTTTGGTGCTGGAAGCAAAATGTTCGCTATTATCATTCTTGGCTTCTTTTCTCTTTGTGCGTTGGCTTTGTTCTGCTACTACAGTTATCGGGAATACAGAAACAGTCGACATTATAAAGAGAAGGTTATAATTAACCGGGCTTTACCTCTTGTTCAGATTCAGTGTTACACAAAGCATTCTAATAGACAAAGAGACATTCTCCTAGGTATAGTAAGCAGAAATCATTGCTTGCTTGAGTTTCAGGCTGCCGATGCATTTTCGATGCCCGTCGTTGGTGATGCGAAATTACCTTTGATTGGAGCCAAAAATGACGATAACTTGAAGAATATTATCAATCTTGAGGTATTTCCCTCTCCTGTTATTATTTCAACATTTTCAGTTGCGTTGTCTACTGCTTACTGAAGATTGGTATCTTTTAAATTTTTAATTTTTGATAAGATGTATTGTATGCTTCACGTTTTCTATAAGTTTTCATTTTGTATGAAGATGATGGCGTAAGAACCTTTCTAAAGCAAAGCTCTGCAGTTCATTCATACTACAGCTGGGATTAATACTTAGGTGTCTATGGAAGGATTTTACTATGTAAAGCAAAATTATCTGCAGATATTCACTTGGTCAGATCCGTTCTCACGATCTTTATTAGTTGTTAATGAAGAAGAATGGTGGGATGGAAACGGGATTTGAAATCTTCGAAATCTCTTATCTGAGTTCTAGCACCTTACTCGTGTTCTGGTTTGATTGTATATCATATTTAGTTGGTGGCTCGCGGTCGATTTGGTCAAGTATTTCGTGGTGTACTAGACAATGAAACTGTCGCGGTAAAAGTTTTTCCACCTGTGGATGTGAACAGTTGGATCGTTGAACAGGTTCGAATGTCTTTTCTTTTTTTTTGCTGTTGTCCTTTGACACTGCAAAATCTTTTTCTTTTCAAAACTCGAATTACTGCTAAGCAACATTAAAAAACAGATTGTTATTGAACTTTTTTTTTTTCGTGAAACTTTCATTATCCACTATATTGTAGGAAATTTACGCGATAGCTTCTCTTCGAAGACACAAAAATATATTGCGATATTTGGGCGCGGAAGTTCATGGAAACGATTTCTGGCTGATTACAGAATTCCACGATAACGGCTCACTGTTTGATTTCCTTCACGTAAGCTAAATTTTTTAATACCTCTGCAACATTACCCATAATTCTAACTCACTGATATCACTCAGACAACTTCAATAAACCTACTGAAGCAGTTGCAGTTTTGTATTCAAATCTGATGAATTTTCTGGAAATATTTTACTGGCTGCATTTTGGCTGCCATTTAATATTTTAATAAGATTATTTGTTTTCAGTGAGCTTATTTTAATCTTTATAAGTGCATCACTTAACTTTCTCATTTTTTGGTCGCTTTCTTTTTGTGAGTTCTTACCATTCAGTTCTTTTCAATCTGCAAATGCTTTTTAATTCATCACTTTTCAGTTTCGTGTCTTGACTTTACAAGAATCGTTGAAAGTAATAGCTTCAATGTTGAAAGGATTGTCTTTCCTTCACGAAGAAAAAATGATCGATGGCGAACTAAAACCTTGTGTTGTGCACCGGCAAGTCTATCTTCATTCACATTTATCATCATAAGTTGCCACATTTCTTTTTCGACCGGCTCTTATGTATTCTTAATTGGGATTTTACAAAATTTAATAGCTGAAGTTTCTGTCGCGACACTGGGAAATCATTCAGGTAGCTCCCAAGCAGCTGAACAGAAATATAACTTTAAATAAGGAAAAAAGGGTTCCGAAAACGTGCTTCTGTGTTTTTCATTTCTATTATATTTTCTATTACATTTCTATTATATTCTAGTATTTATTAGATTTCAGAGATTTTAAATCACGAAATGTACTTTTGAAGTCCGATTTAACTTCGGTAATCGCTGATTTTGGTCTAGCGTTGAAGTGCGAAAACGGTCAAATGCCATCTGATGACAATCATGGACAGGTAAACAATATTTTTATAAACCATCTGTTTTGCAAACAAATTCATAGTTTTTCTTCCCTTAGTTTGATGCTTTCTATAAAACTGGAAGGTTTGGTTATTGAATTTACAGGTAGGAACGCGACGTTACATGTCACCAGAAATATTGGAAGGTGCTACCGAATTTACAGCCTTTGCTTTCCGTCAGATTGATGTGTATGCTTCTGCTTTGGTCTTATGGGAGATTCTATCGCGAACATCAATGGGTAAAGGTAAGCTTAAGGTTTATGTTATATCACTTCGTTGCTCATGTGGAAAAACTACCGATTGGATTTTCACATGTGAAATGAAAAGCTATTAGATATTCAAGGCTGTTGTTTGGGTTTTTATTAACTTTTATTTTCGAACATTTCTTTTATAACGAAAGATGTAACTCAGCCAGTGCGATTGGTTTCTTTCATTTGCTGGTATCGCATATCATCGGTCGTCATGTTTTTTAAAAGTTCTTCATCATGTAGTTCTCGATTTCACTTGTCTCCTCTGTTTCTAGAATCTGTCTAAAGTAAACTGCGGAAAGTTTCTTGTATGTTGCATCATTGCTGTACACTTTAGATCCCCTGATAATGCTTCAGATGATGTTGTGGGGGAATATGAACGACCGTATGAAGCAGAAGCTGGAGTGCAGCCAACATTGCATGATATGAGACGAGTTGTTGCTGTAGAAAAAAAACGACCAAGTATTCGTGCTGCAGTCATGGAACATAACGTTTGCTTTTTGAAATTTATTAATGAGTTCAATGAAACAAATAGTTGCTGTCTCTTTATGTAATGTGTTTCCATCCATACTTTTGCGGTTTCCGTTCAACTTTGGTCATTTGCGAGATTCTTTGGAGATTTTATTTATGCAGTTTTAGATTGGTGGTGTTTTATGGAAGACAGCTGAAGATATGTGGGATATGGAACCGGATGGCCGTATCACTTCTGGATGTGCATACGAACGTGCCAATACATTATTCATGTCCTATGCTGCGGATTTAAAATTTGAGTGTACTACGCAACCGGAAAATTCTATAAGTTAGTTCTTTTACTGTAGTTTATAATTCTAGTTATATCGGTATTTATTAATTAAAAAATGAAGCTATATTTGATGACGTTTGTAGCATAATGATCTTTACGTCAAGTATTTCTTGATTTTCCTAACGAAGTAAGTTTTCGCCTGCTGTTCCAATTTTTCATTTTCATGCCAAGGAAACGCAATGGTGGTCTGGCAAATAATTCAATTAAGCAATAATTGCCCAAGCAGTTCATCGTGCTACTACAATTATTACAAAATATTTAATGAATTGTGCTATGTGTGATGTATTATTTGTAGATGGTGCGCTACCTTCATATACACAAGAATATGGAGTGGTACCGGCAGCACTACTTATCAAAGATGGTTCTTTGGGTTCCAATGGATTCCATGCTTCAATGGAAGAATATGCACAAGCCTGTACAGCACCTCCAAATGTTCGATACTTTGCAACTCTCGATACAGAGAAAGTAATTCAGGATAATATAATTCCCTTATCAAATCAAGGTGCGCATAGTACTTTCCCATTATCGTGATGATTCGTTTCTATATGGATATGTTGTACAGTTTTATTCTGTTTATCTTTATTGCAGTGGTCAAGTCAGACGGCGTAGAGCATTGCTCCATTGGTGGTTTAATTTAATCTTTGTTTTTTTTAAATCATTTAAAAAGTGTCGCTGTCAGCTTGCAAATTATAATGTCTCATATCCTTTACATATTATATGTAAATGTTTGATTCAGTATTTAATGCTGGTGTAAAGTTGCATTAGAAAATGTAAATTTTACTCTGACCTTTGTTAATATCCGTCTACTGATAGTGACATTTTCTGTTGCATCAGCTGTATTTATTAGTGCGACGCTAAACGCCAGTTGCCCTTCTGTAATGATTTTGAAATTTGGGATCTGATGGTCTAGAAAAAAAAGTTCGTTATTTTATAGTTTGTTTTTAGAAATCCTACTTATGGATACATTCCACTTGATGTTTGAAATAATAAAGCATGTGTAGTAATGGGAAGATCATCAGATATAGTATAAATTTGTCTGTTACTTTTCATTGTTCATGTATAGTTTGCTTCTGTTGTGTTCGGTGTACATATTGTAAACTTTATACATATTTACATTCTGCAGGCAGGTATTTTACATTATTGCTATTGTCTTTGCTTATAAAGTAATCGTTGTCATGAAAATGATGAACGATAATTTTTATCGTTTGTCTTTATTTATTTAATCTGTCTGTTGTTATTTATAAATTTTGACTTTGCCATTTTTAAATTTTTCGTTTTTTTCCTCTCTGATTGTTACCTTCGAAAGTTTGTAGTAAGGGATATTATACGGCTATCGTCTTTTAATGCTGAAATCTCGATTGAATTTTCTTTAATGGCTTATTAGCGTAATTTATTCTCTGGTACTCTGTCTAATTGGAACCCATAAGAATGGTATGTTTTGTTCCTAACGATGAATTTTGTTAGTGGAACGATGAATAACTTTAATGGTCATTAGTTTATTTTTAAAGAGAATGTAGAAAGAAGGAGTGGATGAAAAGGTCCTGATAGATTATCATTTTAAAGAAATAAAAAGTGCTTGATGATTTTGATTTGTATATAATAGCATGATTAGGAAGGAGTTTTGTTGATTATTCGTCCTCTCGTTTTCCCCTTGCTTTTCTTGTAAAATTTATTGGTTGAGTGCTTCCTACATGATTGAATTATTGAATGTTTTGGAATTTCATCTTATAATTGAGCAAAATATTTTTTTACTAGACCAATGTAAGCTCATCTTCATTGATCCAGCTGTCAGATAAATCTTAGTCCTGTTCCTGTTGATTTCGATGGGTTGAAATATGAATTATGGATGTAGGAAGCAAGTAAGAATATTTGTATTTTATTGTTAAGTTATATTTAAACTTAACGAGACTGTAAACGTGTGTCTGTTTTCTCTCATCTCCTTATTTTCTGTATGTTTGCCAAGTTCAGGAAAAAGAAAAAGATTGAATAACATATGAATAAATTCTTCTGTAACAATTTCTATGCGTAAGTGTAATAGCATTCTGTGAAGGATGTCGGTAACGAAACTATCTGCATGTGTAGCACGGATAATATCATGAACTGGAAAGAATCGAGTCGTTATAAGTGCTGTGAGGTTTATGAATTTCGTGATCATCTCTCTTTGTATTGTAAAATGGTAATGTGTTTAGTTGCATTTCTGATTTACGGTCTGTATTAAATAACTACTGACTTGTAATACGTAAGTTTCTAAGATATTCGCAAGAGTTTTTGCCAAATCGGTCCTGAAATTTTCACTAACAACAAGGATTTTGACTTCTCTTAATTGGAGAACTGATGAATTAGTTTGCGTACCGTACTGAATACATATTGGTGGGTAGTTGTGTAGATAAGGGGCATAAAGATTTCTTGTCGTAGTGCTCCAAGGCTTGGCATATGAACTAAACTAAGCTTTGGATTATGAAGCTATTATAGTCTTGCAAGATGTCGGCTACAGAACAGATGGCGCAAATGCTAAACGAACTAATGGGTGTAAAACGAAATGCGGATATTGGTGATACGGATGAGCCAGATTTCGATGAACCTGATGTGTGCAAGAATTTCTTAGTTGCATTCTGTCCAAATGAAATGTTCAGGAATACGAAAGCTGATCTTGGTTTTTGTCCAAAGGTTATTTTAAACCAATCACGTTAAATTTCGAGAACCAAAAAAATTCCATAATATACCGATACTATAAGTATCTTCTTTTACAGATCCATGATCCAGCTTTACGACTGAAATATCGTGAAAGTAGTCGTTTCGAAAAATTAGGATATGAGGAAGAGTTTTTGAATAAAATTCGTCGTCTGGACGATGAAGTGCGTCGAAAAATTGAGAAGAACGAACGCCGTCTTGCTATGACGCAACCTGTCATTAAAGGTTTGCTGTCGTTAAAATCTGCAGTTTGAAAGTTCTTAATATATCATTCTCGAGCAACAACTTTGTTTCTTGTTCAGAGCTTGAATTGCAAGGAGAAATATTTGGAACTAACTTACAGATGCTTCAAAAGAAGGCAATGAAGGTGAAACAGATGCACAACGCAGGCAAAAAGAGCTTATTGCTGAGCAACAGTCCAATCTATCTGCCAAAATCAACGATTGTATGGAAAAAGTAATTTTTTCCTCCTCTCTGTCGGCAGCCGTTGACGCAATAAAAATGTAGAAATAGCTTTATATATAAAATCAAGCTTAACTTTTCATATCGATACTTCCCCCTCCCCCCACCCAACGCTGATAACATTCATGATCAGAAATGAGGGTGGTGCATTTATTGATTATTGTTTCAAAATTCCCATTTTTTTAAAAGTCTGTTTGAAATTTTTTATCGAAAACGGCTGCCATTCATTTATTTTCATGTTTTCTCTATCCTTATTTTCTTTATTTCCTATTAGTCAATAAACTGTTCGATTCTTGGAATTTTTAGAAAGTATCTGTTGCATGAAACTTTCAAATCCATTCTCTGATTTTTGATTGGTCGATTTTTTACCTTACAACCATCATTTTCTCCAATTTCCTTCTTTTTTTGCCTCTATTTACAAAAAATTATACATCAATTTGCTCGCACAGCCTACCTCTAATCGACAATCTCACTGGTGAAGTCCATTTTTGCTGTTTCTTGCCTGCATACTGGAGGTCTTTCTAGGTGCGAAAAAGCGTTTAAAATGCCTTTAAAAAGGAATTTTTTCTTTAGGCTTCCTACACTTGTGAGCAAATTCCGTGCTTTGGAGCCAAAACGCCAAATCGTGTATACCTCAGGTTTCCCATCATATCATTTTTATTGTGTTAACGCGTTCGCTTCACTGCTAATGCTACCATTTAACATTGGAGTAAACGTAGTAACTGGTTTGTTTTTAATATTAAAGGCCGAAGCCTTGGGGGCACTGGGTAAAGTGGATGAAGCGAAAGAGCAAGTACGACAAGCGGACAAATTCAAACAAGAGCGTGCGGCTTTGGATCGTTTGCTGGCGCAATCGGCGAATCCTACAAGTCATATTGAGGATCTCGCCAATCAACTTTCAAAACCGATGGAAGTTTGCCAGGTTAGTTTACGTTGTTCCGTGAAGCTATTTTATGTTTGATGCGGTCTGCTTCTGTGATCATAAGGATCAAGTTGGAGAACGATTATTTCGAGAAAACTTGGGAATTTATTAAGAACATCACATATATATATATATATATATATATATGTATACATCACTCTTTAGAACGTCTTTTAGAAAATTTATTTTGAAAGTGAAGTTTTTCAAGGTTTGTGGATGTTTCATGCTTGTGAATGATGTGCAACAAAGAATAGATGACCATTATGCCGGTAAACAGCATATGGCCTATGCGAGAATTCGGGCGACAATTGAAGAAATGGATCGAAAACGGGAAGAAAAACGAAAGGTTTGCCTAATAGAAATTTTATCAGAAATGGTTGTTGGTAATAATGACAGTTGAAGTCTTCATCATTTGCTTCGTTTATATTTATGTGGGGTTGTGTGATGAAAAATAACCGAATCAGATTTATTTCTGATGATTAGATTTTATTCATCAAAGGTCGCCGTGTTGTATTTGTCCTCTCCGATAGTTTATTTGAACATTACGTCTCGTGATAGTTTATTTGAAGAAGTGAGTTCAAACTTCTAACCACACAGTATTACATTCGTATTACTGTACAAAGTTCTGTGCTGATTTCCTGATAATTTACAACTAATTTAGGGAAAGATAGAGCGTGAAGACAAGGAAAGGAAAGATCGTGAAAGGAAAGAACGCGATGACAGAGAACGACGGAACGAAAGAGATCGAGAAAGAGAGAGGGATCGTGACAGGGAGAGAGATAGAGATAAGGATCGAGATAGAAGACGGGATGAAAGAGACCGTGGGTATGTTTGTCATTAATTTTTGCCGTCCCCTTCTTTTATAGACAGTATTTCAATTGTCCGTTAAAGCAGGTGTTTCGAAAGGCGTAGTACTCGAGGTGCTAAACTTTTTTTGTAGAGTCTGAAATAGCAGAATATGGCGGGAGCACTTGATACTATCTATAGTATTCCTGTAGAGTCTTGAAAGTTTATAAAAAAATTTCCGATATTTGTTATAAGAATAGATACAAGACCAGAATAATCTTTAGTAGTAGAGATATAATTTGTATTACTGTTTACAGACATCGACATCGTTCGCCACGCTCACGGCGAGATGATGATCGACGATATGACCGTCATTCGGATAGACATCGAGATAGAAGAGACGACCGGGACCGGCACAGAGTAATCTTTTGTTACCTTTTATATTTTACTGGATAGCAAATTTTGATTAGTGTTTTAAATGCTAAAATTGACGTCTATATTGAGCAGTTAGCATCATGCAACTTTTGTTTGAAAAAATGAAGTAATTTTTGGTTAATCATACCAGAATTTTGTGCCGCCCGTAACTTTTTCAAATCCCAAATATTTCAATGAGAATTTAAGCTGTAAAATACACCTTAAAAATTCCTTCATAATTGCCATCGTATTGGTAGGGAAACCTGTTTCACTGAAAACGATAATTTCACCAACTATCTTAGCTGTTTACTATTCATCCTGGCGTTCAGTTGCTTATTCTTAAAGTTTCAAAACTCAAAATATTTTCAGCGATGAAAATGGACGCGTGTAGAGGGATGCATTTGAGTTGGACAAGAAGGATAAAACAGTGGTACATTGCCATCACTTCTCTTTGATATTTGAAATGCTTATTTTGTTTTCTTGCAGACATATTATAGTTGTGCATTAGTTTTACAGTTGCTGTAACAAGATTGTTGATGTCGAACCGAATGTTTTGTTTGTCCTTGCCTGATTTAAAAGATCGTTTCTTATACTTCCGTATTCTTGTCCATTCATCGGAGCTGTTGAATATATTGTTATTTTTTTCTTCCAACAAATTGGAAATATTTTTCGTGATCTATAACAAAATGTTAATTCGTATCATTTTTCTTCTGTACATCTGAATGAGAATAAAAAGATCGTTTGTCATGATTCAGAGCAACACGTAGGGAAATACGCGCAGAATGAGTTGAGTATTTACTTTGACTCTTCAGAGCTCTTTTTTATTAAATACATGAAACAAATCTAGGGAGATCTCTTGCGAATTCCGTTCTAATGCGATATTTTTATGTGGTTCTTATTTTTCCGATAGTGGATGGCCTATCCGTTAGTGGCTGGTATTACTAAATAAGATTTGTATGATACAGATTTTTCCTGTTATTGAACCCAGTAGTGACTTGTAGTAATATTCTGCATGAGGAAAAATTGATTTCGTTCCTGATTCTTATCGGGTTCAAATGCCTTATGAATATTTCCGCAAAAGTTACTGTATTGCAGGATGAATACTGGTTTAATTGAACTAGTCGAAGTCCTTTTTCAGAGGGGGAATGTATTATCGGCTTCAGTTATTCGAAGGGAAGTTCGATTCTGTTGCGGGGAGGGGAGGGTTTTCGGAAATTTTTTTTGATTGAGTTTTCTCATAAAATTTTTTTTGAATTCACTTCTAATTTGGTTGTTCGGTTCAAGTTCAGGAGTTCTCATCCTATTACCAGACTGCATACACTGCCGTCTGCAGGTATTAGGAAAGGCATCTAAAATTCGTTTTTAAGATTGGAAGTTATTAAAAAGATGTGAGAGGGGAAGTTATGGTATTTTTAGCAGAACAGAGCGTTGTATTATTGAGTAGGTGGGTATGAGGTCATTTTCGATGAAATTTTCTGAAAAAATTTTTATTGGCTTTGTAGTTTACTGTTCAACTTTTTCGGTACTATTCGCATTTAGTGCGTGCATACTTTCTATCGTTGTTTACTGTTCTGTATTTATGCATCCGAATCCCAACATATGCTGAATTATTCGCAGTTATCTTTTATGAAGTCGTTGCATTGCTTAATGTGCAGGTGTAATTTCAAGAAATTTTGTTTTTCAAGTTCCAATCAAACGTTTTAAGATTACTCTTTGTATTCAACAGTGTGCCATATTATTACAATGTTTGAGGAGTAGGATGACGATGGCTTCGTGTTTTTGAAATAGACAATCCGGTAATTTTGAAGTTGGAAGCTGTCATCTAATTCTTTGTGATTTTTTACTAAAATAATGACGGGACCCGACGACATATTTGTGGAATCTTCCCAGATCGAGGAAACACCGCAAAGTGACCATGTTAGTTGATTGCATAATTTGATTAGTTATCAGATTTTATACTAAGTAATCAAGAATATGCACACTGTTGTACTGTTGTAGTAATTCCTGATGGGAATTAATAATGTCTTTCTTATATTTTACTATGTAATTATATTTTGAAGATGCGAATACTGGTTGCTACTGATTTGCATATAGGATTTGCGGAGAAAGTTTTGGGCCGCGATGAGGATTCAATACGAACGTTTGAAGAAATTCTACAAATTGCTAGCAAAGAAGAAGTTGATTTCGTTTTGCTAGGTATCTTTGTCCTTTTTTGGATAGGATATTAAATTGTAAAATCTAACTTGGCAATCTTATTGTAACGTAAGATTATGATAAATAATGGTAGAACAATATAGAGTGGACATCTTTACATAAGCTCCAGCATATTGGATATAAGATTGACTAAGGCATTATGCTCCGATCCACTGATATCTGAATCAAAAGGCGGTTAAAACTGATTAATTTATATTAATCTGGAACGAAATCAATTTCAGGTGGTGACTTATACCATGAAAATAATCCATCTCGTGAAATGCAACACCGCGTGACGCGACTGCTTCGTCGATATTGCCTAAATGATCGCCCCGTGGCTGTTCGCTTTTTGAGTGATCCAACTGTAAATTTTGCACACAGTGCTTTCGGCAATGTAAATTACGAGGTATTATTATTATTAAAGTATACTTGTTCGAAAAATTTTTATATCAAGCCGCGTTATCCCATCTCTAAAGTGCGCCAAAAATAACTGAAATTAACCTTGTCTTTATGATGATATATTTGTTAATATCACACTATGTGATGGAAACTGTTCTTTTATCATATAGTAATAATTATATATACCAAATTATTTGTACTGACAAAATGAATTTCAAGATTAACGTACTAGTTTTATGATACGTGAAATTACTTCACTTTTCTTTACACGTGGCTTATACATGAATTTTAGGATAGGAACATTAATGTTGGTTTACCAATATTCACAATACATGGAAATCACGATGATCTTACTGGAAAGGTTAGATTTTAAAAATGACAATGTAATTTACTATGATTTCATTCTCTGTAACAGTACAAATATTGAAGGTCAAATAGCGCTTCGGAGCACATGATTCATTAGCAAAACTAGCGCTTCGGAGCACATGATTCATTAGCATATAGTACCCTGAGCTCACATGTTGGTAAATATTGAGTTGTTGTTTGTGACATCAACGATATGAAATTGGTCCAGAGATATTTAGACATGTTCATATTTATTTGAGCCTACTTTTAATGTGAATGAATTTGAAGGGTTTGACAGCGCTGGACGTGTTGCATGAATCAGGCCTTCTCAACTTGTTTGGCAAATTTGAAGAAATTGACCAGTTTGTTATTTCACCGATACTTCTGGTGAAAGGAAAAACGAAATTAGCACTGTATGGCATTGGCAGTCAGCGGGATGATCGCTTATGTAGAGCTTTCCGAGGTTCGGTTTAAACCTCATGTTAGCATTTGTGAGATATTTTCTTCTTCGAATCATTTTACTTATCAGTATTATGAATAAGTGAATGGTTATTTGAATTATGGAACTGTCAAGTTCATTTTTTATGAAAATATGAAGTTCTTTTTTTTATCCTTTGCTTTCTGAACGTATGTTAAAATATTGTCCGTAAATGTTAAGTATTGTTTAGAGGAGGAAATTCGATTTTTACGCCCCAAAGAAGACACTGAAACATGGTTCAATATGCTTGTATTACATCAAAATCGACCAATGCGAACACGTGAACGGTCAACTGGTGGACATTTACCCGAAAATCTTATCCCTTCATTTTTTGACCTCGTTATTTGGGGACACGAGCATGAATGTAAAATTGGTAGGTTACTTGAATCCATTTCAGTTACTGGTTACTGAGTTCTTGTATAGATGATTATTTTTACATAATCATTTAATGATTATGAATATATATGATTAAAGTTTCTAGAAGTATAATTCCATTTTTGGGAGAAATGAGTAGTACTCGAAAGAAAAAGGATGGTACTTGGAAAAAAAAAGAATTGAAACTTAAAATTATTTCACCGTATCCCTTTGATTCGTCTTGGCGTTCTTAGCTTTTGGAAAATAGATTTATAAGTTATTACAAATTGTCAAATTGGCTAGAGCATATACAGTACAATAACTGTTTGCAGATCCACAATATTATGAAAGTGGCGTTAATGATTGCGGTGATGGTAAGAGTTAATAAGTTTGTTGGGATTTTTATCTTTTTTTCGGTTTCAAACGCATTCCACTTATTTTTTCCGAAATTCCGTACGTTATTTTTCATGTTATGAGTCAACTACGTTTCAGGTTTCTACATAATCCAACCAGGTAGCACTGTAGCTACTGCGCTTTCACCAGAGGAAGCTAAGCCGAAACATGTTGCTCTTATCACAATTAGTGGACGCAAATTCTTTTCCCAAAAAATAGCTCTGGAAACACCTCGGCAGATGCTTTTTGCTGATTTAACAATTACTGTCAAACCACCTTCCACTGCATCAAAAAATAGCCGGTCAAAAAATATGCCTGTTTGTCTACTCTATTTTCATTTGTAAATTGTATATTTTGGAAGAATTCCTTTTTATTTTCACTTTTTTAAAGTGTTCTTTATGCTTTTTATGCCACTGTAATTTTGAGGATGAAAAATTGATAGCGGCAGAAGTAGAGAAAATGTTAGCAGAAGCTGAAAAGGCAAAAACAGCCAGGCAAGCTTATCCTCCGTTATTACGCCTTCGAGTAACTTATCCGGAATCATGGGCCAATATTATGGTAAGCTGCCTTGAATGGTAAGCTATTAGTCTAATAACTTTGAAGGGATGATTATCTCAGGTGGTAAATACTCTATGGTAGAGAATTTTCATGTGTTTCTGGAGAAATGATTTGCCACTTTAGAAATTAAATTCTCGACAATTTGGTGCTGCATATACAAAACGAGTAGCAAATCCATCAGATATGATAACTGTTAAAATAATAAAAGCAAAAAAAGAAGGGAATAGAAAAGAAGACGGTTTCAAGGCTGGCACAAATATGGAAAGAGCAACAACCGTTGAAGAAATTGTGAGTTTTCTTTTCAGAAAAAGTAGTTGCGGAATATAAGCTATTGATTAGTAGTATACTTCATTTTTAGCTGAAACTATTAGACACTCCTATGCTCATGAAACATTCATTGGAGTGCGACTTTAAGTGGTATCCTTTTTGGTGTGCATTATGTGTTTCTGTGATTAAATGATTCTGTCGTTCAACTTTTATCTATGGACTGGGTTGGAAATATGACGTAATTATGCTCACGTCAAGCATACAGCGTAATTATAGTTACATTTTGGTATCACAAGTCCCTTTCTACCTTTTACTTTCAACATTGTAATTGTAGCGAGTATATACTGCCTATCCATTTCATGCAATTTACTTGGAACTTTAACAGAGATTTTGAAACACGTGTCTACTTCAGATCAACGCTCATTTTGCTGCACAGGATAATGACACACTTATGGTACTCGATACAGAAACACTGAATGATGTTGTAAAATTTCAAGTTGAACAGGAAGATGGAAAAAGAGTTAAAAATAAGCCACTTATTGAAAATTTGCATGTTAAAAAAAAGAAGTTAATTGATGCTCTTTGTAAAGTTTCATACGAAGATTTTCTCTCCTTCGATAAAATCGTAAGTATTTTTCGTAATTAACTATTTTTATTGTTATAAATGGGGACTTATTTTTAATGATATGAAGACTTCCTAACGTAACATTTATTCAAGGATTAACATTTCTGAAGCTAATCAAAGTTCTTGTTTGTATGCATCGATGATCCATTTGTTTTTCCGATTACTGTCCTCTATTTGTTTTTGCAGCCAAGCCATCAGTTTTTGGAGCAGTTCGAGGAATTAATAAATTTGGATATCAAAAAGGTCCAGAGTGTTAATATTCAAGGAATGAAAAGTACTGAGTGATAGTGAACGATGTATTTGTTATTTGTTCATAATAGTTGAAATGTTTCGTAATGGTTAATGCCCTGTGTAAATGTAATGAATGTTGGGAATAAATTTCTTTACTTTTTATATTTCGAAATTCCCAATTTTTGTAATTATCATTGTCAAGTTTATTGCACATTTAATAAAATCAATTTCAGGTGATTTCTCAAAAAATTGGTATGAATTTATGTGAATTTTGATAATTTTTTGTTTGTAAACAAAGGAAAGGAGATATTTTATGAGAGAAAAATTGCAAATGCTGTAGTTATTGTTGAAGATGTTCTGTTTCTTGCTAAAAATACTATTTCACGGAAGACTGAGGAATAGCTATGGCATTCGGAAGAAGCAATAATGGTAGTAAAAAATCCCAAAAAATCCCTAAAATGCGTTTGCATAATGTTCGGGTGGAAGTTTTCAAGTCGTGCTGTTTTGGGGTCTTTCGAGTTAGAGGCAGATTTCTTGTCATAGTTAATCTCCTTTTTTCTCTTTCTTTCAATAAATTACATTGCAGAAAGCGATACCTATGGAAAAGAGAACTCATCGTCAAAATGTCATTGTCGATTTGCAAGAACAAATTGATTCGATTGCTCCAAATAAATATTTCACGCGAGTAGCAGCTGCTGGCAGTAAAGGACGTTCGTTTTCCTTTTCACCAATTCAGTTACTGCTTTATTATATTGTAGATATTTGATGAAATATCATTTTTGTTATGCTTTCCTAAAATATTATGAAAAAAAAAGTGGAAGGTACTTTAACTTTTTGTTTTATTTCAGTATTGAAAATTTTTGCAATCGAAGAGAGTGGATTCAATTTCGTTGCTGACTTTCGTTCAGTACGTAGTCGGCGGTTGAATTTGATGTATTCAGCAAGCCATGTTTCGTGGAGTCATATAATCGGTTTATTTCATTCATTTTATTTCCGAGAGCTCTAATTTTTGTTAAAATAATTATGCAGTAGGAGGCGAAAGCTAGATTATGTGTAACTTCCTGTAGCCATTACCGGAGCATCTGGCGGCTCTCCAGCAAGTTTTTTCTACCCGCGAACTGCAGGCGAAGCCTGCCTCCCCCACCCCGATGCTCTTCCCTTGCCTTAAATCAAAACCCTTCAATGTTAAAATCGCGCTGGTCTTCCATCACAACTTCATTCTCTCAACATTAAATAATGATGTAATTAGGTGTACATTTTCAGTGAATTCGTTACAATGTTTCACCTATTTTTTTATGAAAGGATAGTATATATACGTATACGGTTACGGTATTGGGTAAAAGGTAGTGACGGTAGTGAGTTCGTATATTAGTCCGCTCCTCGAAAACCAGTCCAATTTCTCATGTGGCCCTCTGGAAAAATTAATTGCCCATCCCTGCTGTAGCCTAAGTTCAGCAACCACCATAAATATCTCTTTGCTTTCCACCTTTGGTAATTAGGTTATTTCAGGAAGTTTCAACTGTTATCTTAAGGGACATTGAGATATAGTCAATATCAAAATTCTTTTTAAAAGTCATTTTTTCTAGATAATATGATAGCTACTACGTCAACGAATGGAGCTGTGGTCTTGTGGAATGCCGATAAAGCTGCTTTGCGTATTATTTTCTGCCTTGTTCTTTAATTTAATTGGTGAAATAATGATAAGAGATACTGATTTCAAAGTGTAGAAGTAGATTTTAAAACTAACTTTATGGGGGAGTGGTTTAGACACTTATAAAAATGTAGTAGGGAATATTTGCAGACCGTACCTATAAGGCGCATACTCGTTCAGCGACCAAAGTATGCTTTCATAAGACTGATCGTAATACATTGATTAGTGGAGCTAAAGATGCAGCAGTGATTCAGTACGATTTTCGAGTACCGGAACCGGTCAAAAAATTTATGTAAGGTGTTGTACAGCTCTCTGATAACGACGAATTTGTTTTATGTAAACACACTTTTCTGATGGTAATTTATTCAACTTTCAAAGATTTCAGAAGGCATTTATGTTTCTACTATCATCATTTTAAATTAAGTTTTGATCATTTTAAGTCATTACAAACTAATTTTTAATCATTAATTCATCTGCAGAAGTGGTTCATGTGATCCTGTTCGTGATATGCAGTTCGGTATCCATCCTAGTCACTACGACATATTTGTAGCTGCAGATGATGGTGGTTCTGTGCGTTTCTGGGATTTACGTAAAAATGACCGACCACTTTACCAGTTTGTAGCACATCATGGTCCATCTAGTGTTGCACTGAATCCAAATTATGACGATCAGAATTTGATTGCTACCGCTGGCAGAGATAAATTTATAAGGGTGTGATTTTCTGTAAAGGAAGAGTAACTGATTTCTGAATAAATAAAATTAAATTTAGAATAAATAAATTTATATCAGCTGATGTATTTAAAGAACTGTTCGTAGAATTAAAGATTTGGAAATGGTTCGATCGTTCCGAAACTCAATTAAATTCATCGATGTATTCGGTGGAAGCTACAGCATCTGTTTCCCGAGTCTACTGGAGGCCAATGCACAAATACCAGGTTGCTTAATAGATAATTACGATGTTCTTTATTTGTTGTGGAATATTTATTTACTTTTTGGTGGGGATAGTTAATAACATTAATTTGGTTATACCAAACCTAGTCACCAGGTTTCTCTTAGGTAGCCAGTTGTTCTGTGGTAAGCGATATAAACATACACGTTTGGGATATACGAAGACCATTCTTGCCTTTCGCTAGTTTCGATGAACATCGTGATATATGCTCTGGTAAGTTTAATGCTGTGCATCACTAATTATGTTGTCTTGCGTTTTTATACCGCATGAACAAGTAGTCTAATTGTATTTAGATTTGGCTTGGAAAGAGAACGATTCAGAAATATTTTTATCGGCTGGCAAAGATGGGTTATTGGTAATGCATTTTGTGGAAAATGCTCACCATCCAATGAACCACGTGAGTGATGTCGCAGTTGACATATCACCTGCTGGTACAGTAGCTGTTGCAGGTAATGACTGTCTTCGTGCGTACCAAATACAAGCATCTTTGCCACAAATATGACAAGAACAAGTAATACATTTTGTATTGCCAATCCTTATTTTACATTCCACAGATATGAAATGCTGCTTCTGTCCCACTGAGGAGACGAGTAGCAAGCAAACATTTTTGGGTGTAAGTAAGCATTATTTGTAGAAGTAAGAAATAATAAATTAAGGAAACGTTTTTGTAGCGATAAACAAAAAGCCCAGTAGATCCAATCTGAAAGCTACTTTTCCAATCCATAATTTTTCAGCTTTTAAAATTTTTTAAGAATTAAATTGAAGTGGCACAATAAAGTTTGCACTATTATTTTTATAATATTGCAGTAAGCAGTCAATTAAATTTGAAAAACGAATCAATAGTTGAGCGGGAGAAAGCGCGCAAAGGTGAAGCATTTGCACCAAGAAGACGAAAGTATGATCCGTTCCAGTCAAGCATTCCCAGTTATTTGATTTGCTGTGAACCAACTGAAACAAATGTTCAAGTTTCACCACAGCAATTTGTCACCTTAGCTAAAAAGTTGGTTTCAAACTCAAGTTTTTTCTCTTCACATATTCGTTTTTAGCATTACCCTTAGTCGATAAAAATAACCTTTTCGTTCTATTTATTCTTCTAAGCAGCTCATAACTTCTTTTTAAGCGAGTCATAGCTTATTATGGCCGATTATTACATTCGGTACTTTTCACATCCATCACGTTTGATCTTTGAGATTTTGCAATTTTGCAATAAATCCCACCAGTACTGTATGATAATCGTACCCTGCATTTGTTTAGGTACAAACTGTATGGTGAAGACATTTCGTCATTATGTTTCCACAACAGCCGTGTAGCTGAAGATATAAAGAAATATGATATTGCTCATACGTGGCGTATTGTTGGTCTTATCTGTGCATTTACCTCATTTTTTGATAAATCATCAGGCGGAGAAACTTCTCCTGGTAATCATGGAAATGCAGACAGTAAGTGCTGATAAAATGTTTGAGAATGATTTTTTTGCACTATGAAACTGCATATATTTATTGCTTTTAAAGCTGTTTTCCTTTTTTTTTGAATTTAAAGTATTTCTTAGTTAACTACATAATTTAGCCTCATGAAGTTCGAAACTTCAAAAAAGTAACAAACGGAAGGATTTTATTAGATATCAGACTTAAGCAGAGTTCGTTGAATTAAAGATAATGGCACTAGTGCGATCGATACGGCTGCACGATCTCGTTTCCCATCAAGTTTGTCGTCTGGCAGAATGGTACGAAACGTGGATGGCCAAGATGTTACAGAGTCTATATTTTCCGGCGTAATTCCACAGATGGCTTCCACTTCATCAGATTTCTATTTTGGTGATAATGAGCTGAACCCTAACGGATTGAATACTGATCTTTCCGACTTCACACTTACTTAGTAATTAAATTTTCGAAAAGTTCCTCGAAATTTTTTACCATTTTCAATGTTCTTATTAGAAAGACCACATTGGAGGATTTATTCAGTTCTAGCTGTAATTATGTAATCATAAGTATCCAATGATTACATTAAAAAAGTGAGATTCCTGGAGCTAAAAGATTTCATTAGATATTAGTGATTGAATCCCGCTGTTTTGGACCAGTTATTTGGCTAATTTTGCGAAGCACTGACTTGAAATCTTGATTTTCTGAATTTCTTTACAGTGATTTCAAAGCCCCTGCAAATTTGAAGATGGAAGCTTTTGCACCTCGACCATATGAAGAATTTGAAGCTGGTGAAACAAGTTGCTCTCCGAGTTCCGAAGAGCATCTTGATGACAGAGTCCCAAATCATACAAGCGAATTGAAACGATGTCAGATCGGTAGCTTTTATTTGCATTTATACCTTCTTTGCATGAGGCTCAAATTAAATAATACAAGAAATTAACGTATTGAATTTTAGATAGCTGCTGTGATAAAGTGTGTAGAGAGAGAAGTTTTTATTTCCACTGAGTGGTTCACTACAACTCGTTGAATTATAAAACTTAATAACTCAACTCGTTCTTTGTTATGAAATACTGCTGCTACCACTCCGCGAATAGTAGCGATTTTAGGATTCACCATGCTTTCCGTTTTATGAAACGATTGTGAAAAGGTTCACGAATGTAATAATGCGAGATTTTCCCATAAAGATTTTCTCATAAGATTTTCCCATAACAGTAGTTGTGTGATTAGTTATCAAGATGAAAAAGAAATTAATCGTCGAAATTACTGAAATCACTGGACCAACTGGATGAGAATAACCAAAAATAATATATACTGACCTCTTAAAATATCCAGCAGTTAAGTTCGAATGAGTTTCAGCGTTTTCTTTTTTTCAAGGAAATTTGAGGATCAGAGCAGAACTTGTTCGTACTCCGTCATGGGATCCACTTCCAATATTATGTTCTATGTTCAATTTTTACTCTGATTTGGTAAATTTGTAATTCTATTTTGTCGCAAATGCAAGATAAGTTCCTAGTAATATCTGAATAAATGAAGCCCATTCGGCCGATATGCAGCAGTTATATAATGCAACATACGGAATTTATCGAATGGAAACGTAACAGATTGATTATACTGTTTAGATCAGAAAATTATGATAGAGAAAAGAAAAGATTGCATAACAGTGAAACTCACGTAATTTAAGTAGGCCTGTATGCTGCGTTATAAGAACTTCAGTCATACCTTTTTGATCGGATTCATTCTATTAGATGCCTTAATATTTAATAGTAGCTATAACACAATTGTAAAATAGCGATTTAATTATATTTCATCACAAATTAATACGCTAAGCCGCATGTGGAATAGGAAGTAATTAAGAAGACATTACAGCAAATGTTTTACAGGGTGATGTACAAACATGCGTATCTGTGCTGCTCGTACTGGGAGAAAAATCAAAGGAATTCATCGATTTAGGTACGCAGAAGCTGTGGTTTCTAGATTATATCGGTAAGACTTGCATTTTAAATCTTTATTTCTCCCGCGATCAATGAGTAAAACATTTTCTGCTCGTATACTGCTGTTTCAATCTCTTACTAGTTTTGGTGTTATAAATTCAAGACACTTGTCTTGATTGATGGTGATAAACTTGAGAAGTGAAGGTGTAAGTAATAATAATTTCTAACAAGTTCTAGAAACAATAAGCATGCTTCTTGCTTCGCGAATTTATTAAAAATTAAAGAAAAGTGATAATTGTATCCAAAACTGTCATATTTTCCTGACCGGGCAGTTTGAGACTTTTGATAATTTTCTCCCGATCAGAATGAATTAAAACCATTTAGTGAATAAATACTATGGTGATGTGATAAAATTTATTGCATAGATATGCTTGAATGTTACGAACTATGGAATACAGCTGCGGAAGTGATCAAATTATGTTGGATTACAGCTGTTAATAATCTAAGCAATGAGGTATTTCTTGTTATTTCTCTATTTATTCAATTTTTTTACCACTCATGGAATATACCCGTATCTTAATTATTTAGCTTCCGGCTTGTATAACTGGCAATGTTTCAAGTTGAAGCGATTGTTTGTCCTGTCATTTCCATGACATTTTTTGACACTATTTTTCTGAAATTAATGGTGTAGTGGAAGTTGCTGAACTCCAGTCATTTATTTCATTTCTAATTTTGATTTATTTTTTTATACTATGTTTTTGCTGACTTTAATGAAACTATTAATTTACGATTACAGTATTTCAGAGTACTTCAATTAAGCTGCTGTGTGCCAAATGCAAGACTGTATCTGTGACATCGTCACCTTATTGCAAGAAGTGTCTTAAGAAATTCAATTTTAACTGTTCCCTTTGGTACTGTTTTTGATTTTCTTTCGACAGTATAATTTAAATACCATGGAAATTCCACTTTCTACATGATCTTGATAAAAAGAATAGATCAATATGGTAGTTATAGGTCCTTCTCTAACAACGGCATGTTTCAGTTCTTTGCCAGTTCATGGTATTTGGAGTTGGTGTCGTGGATGTACACATGGTGGTCATCCTCATCATTATGCAAAATGGTTTGCTTCAAATAAGAAATGCCCAACTGGATGTGGTCATTCCTGTGTTTAATAACCACAACGGACTATTCAATGTGTTGCTTTATTGAGGAGTCTAATTTAAGGAAAATTTTAGTACCTAGTCAGTTTTAGTGTTGTATGGTGATTGGATTATGGCATTGTTTCTTTCTATTTTAGCTGACGAAAATTTATTTAAACCATATTTCTGTATTTCTTCTAATCTCCTATGTTGTTTTTTCTTCCTTTTTCTTTGTACGATATAATAATCTGAAGAAAATTTCTGAAGACGAATAAAATATTTCTGACAAATAATCCGAAGATATACCAAAAATGTTACTGTACCATTCGATCGTTCAATACAATACATTTCAGCAGTAACAATCACATTTCGAATAGAGCTGTATATCTATATCTTAAAAAAAGCTGTCGTATTGAGGTTCCTAGGAATTTATTATAAATTTCAAGAAACGGATGTTGGGATCGGTGGATGCCGTAAAGCGAATCTTAAAATGTATCACATCAGCCAAGTACCAACGACACTTCCGGATATTTTGCCTACGAAATAATATTTTCCGTATGCAGACAGCACGAAGAAAGCGAAAATTATGCGATTTATTACTGCTCTGTGGTGGTCTATTAACCAAACCAATCATAGAAAGTGCCCGTTGTAAAGATCCGTTGGTGAGTGTTCTTCGTTTGTCAAGGAGTATCATCGTAAATGCAAGGTGATGTTGTCGTAGTGCTAGGTTACTCGGACAATTTTAGTCTATTGCTTTTCCCGTTTCTGATGATAAAAAAGATTTATTTAATCGCTTCCCTTAACCTATCAATGACTCTATTTAATCATCTGCTTATATGAAGTTATCTTGGATTGGATCCGTTAATGTACTTGTTAAAAATTAATTCAAAGTGAGAGGATGAATTCATTAAACGGATTCAATGTAAAATAACATCACATAAATATAAATTAATGTAGTGTCATAATAATAGTTATAACTACGTAGATTATAAGTATAGGTGAAGATGGTAGGGGAAGAGAATCCGTGGTTGGTAGCTTCAACGCGTATTGAAACAACATCGAACGATTATAGTTATCTCAGTATTCGTATGGTCATATATTTGTACAGGACAACTGTACGGGCAATCAAAATAATGCTAAGGTTTGCTTATATCTTGTTGTAAAAAGAATTAGAAATGAATCATTTATCATCACTTATTGGGGCGGTACTTGTGAAAATGTTCTTACTACATTTGTGTTCGTTTCGTTTTCATTTAACTTAACTTATCGTAATTATATCCAATTAACTTACCCTGAATGTTTGAATTGCTGAGTGGTTCTGGACTAGATTTGTCGTATTTTATCAAGAAAGGAATAAGTAGGTGGTAATCATTAACCAAAAACTACCTTTTATCAATTTAGCGATAAATAGTCGAAATTTACTAGTAGGGTCAATGTCGATTGGCAATACTTGCAAAGACTGAGTTCCTATTTTATTCAGTTCAATGTTTTTTAGTCCTTATGTTAAGAGGTGTCTTTTTTAATTCTTATATCTTTTTTTTGTAATCATAGTTATTAAATTTGTTCCACTATTTCATTATCACTTGCTTTTAACCAATATATTTTTGAGTTTGATTAAACTCTTCACAGCTTACTTCCTAACAGAATATAGGTACATTGAACACAAGGAGAATATAACATCTTTAACTTTCTCTGACTGTGTTTGGAACATTCAAATTGATTTCACATACTGTAATTTTACGAAACTGAATATTTGTAAGTGTTATGACGTAACAATTTCTCACTTCAGTTGAAATAAGAAAAGTTATCCCGGTCATTTCGTTAATATATTAGACTTTCTGAAATCTTAGCAACACAACTCATTATTTCGAGTTATTGTGCTTGATAAACATGTACTTTATGTCGTGTTTAATGGAGAAAATAAGCTTATCAGTTATCTCATTTCATCAAATTAAATAGCGAGTAAGAATTACTTTCACACCAGAAGTCATCCTTTCAGGATAGTATCATTATCACTGTTCTTTACCCCGTTATTGATTACTTCCCCAATTGCGTATTTTTGGAGTAGTTTTGGAGAACTGTGGTGGAGATGGCTGTTGTGGATGGTGCAGCGAAGTGGTCCGACTTTTATCAAGCTCGGTCAGTGGGCAAGTACACGGCGCGATATCTTTTCGAAGAGTTTTTGTGATAGAGTAAGTTATGTAGTAAGTACTTTATATCCCAAAAGAAAATATAGTATGTATCTCAGTTCTCGGAATAAGTCTCAGTACTGATAATATTTACTTTGTTTACTGTTAAATGTAGCAGTATTTCGTGTATGCAGATGTCAGTTTTGCACACTAAAACGACATGTCGTCCATGGCATCGTTCGCAATATGCACTCGATCACTTATTTGGTAGTTCTCGATGGAAAGATTTTGTCGTGTCGGTAGAAACTGATGCTATTGGTTCTGGATGTATTGCTGAAGTATGACAACGGTTAACTATGTATTTGCAGTAGCAAAGAGTGAAATAGAAAAACCTTCTTATGACTAAGTGTTAGGAAGAAAAAATGAAGAAGGAAAACGAGAGCGGAAGGGAGTAGACGTGAAAATTATTCTAGATTTAATGTTTAAAATAGGTTACGAAGTTAGCCAAGTTAGAACAATTTATGCCCTGTTTACTGAACATAGTTTGTCATTAATATTAACAGATATTTAATTACATCAGAAAGTTTGCCAGTTCTATCGATGCATCGCTGGATATGAGACATATTCCGGGGAATTGGAACAGAAAATTATGCACTATACCGGCTTTTACTGACATCTCTTTTAGCATGTTTTTTAGTAATATTGAGTTCAGCACTGTATTGACGATTCCTTAGTTCACATTCCTTTCAAGTTCGTTACTGCAGGTGTATAAAGGTATCCTTGATGTGTGTACTTTCGAGAAGATTACAGGGATTCATTTGCCATTTGCGAAGGATCGACATGTTGATATTGCCATCAAAGTAAGTATTCTAATTCAGAAACACCTTGAGTTTTGCTAGTTCACGGATACATTATTCATTCTTGCGGTTATTTCGATCAGACTGTAAAAGATGGAGTTCGTGAAAGCATTGATATTGATTTGTCGATAATGCAATGTGTTGTTCGCTTGATGGAAATGCTCATACCTCGATTGTCGTATATAAATCCGGTGTCTTGTTTAAATCAGTTCAGAGAAGTGCTTGAGCTACAGGTGGATTTAAGGAACGAAGCAAGAGCTCTAAAAGCAAGTTTTTCTTTTTGTTGGTACTCATCAATGTGAAAATATTTTGATAAAAGGCTGTCGTCTCAAATACGTATGTTACTGTTAGTCTCTTTCTTGGGAAGTGTTTTTTTATGAGAATTCAGTAACTCGTTATTCATCTGTATTTAACTCCTCAAAACTCCTCCACTATTCTATAAGAGAGACTTACTTCAGAATTCTGATTCTGCTTAATTACAGAGATTTGGTGATAATTTTGATCCTAAAAAAACACGAGTGCGGTTTCCTGAGGTCATATGTTATTCTAGAGGTGTCATTATTGAAACATTCGAAAATGGATTATGCATCAACAAATTAATTACCGACGAACAGTTGGTAATGCATCAGATGTATTGAGAGTTTATTTTTTAATACTCCAAAATGGATATAGTCTTACTTCTGTCATTTGTTAATCGTTCAAACCAAATTATTATCATTTGTAGATGGAGCAAAATGAACTGAAGAAAAAAGTTGCGCTCATTGGGGTGAGAGCATTGTTGAAAATGATTTTTGTAGATAATTTCGTACACGGCGATCTTCATCCTGGCAACATTCTTTTAAGGTTTATCCTTATAAACTTGCTTCAAACAACATGAAAGGATAATAGATGTGAAATAGACACATTTTTGACTTTTTATTAAATTTACGTCTTTAAAACTGTTTAGGTTTGATAATCGTGACCAGCGACCGACCAACTGGTTTATTTCTTTTCGGACTTCAATTAACAAATTGGTTTGTTGACACATCCCTTTATTTGTTTACTTTTTTCATTTATAAAGTAAGATTTATAGAATATTCATTTATAGAATATACATCTATTAGGATCTGGCAAATCTTACCTCAAAATTATCCAGTATCAGTGATAGCAATATTTTTATACATAACTCAAGTATAGATACAGTTATCAATTTAAATAAATTTATTTCCAGAAAGAAATACTACGAAGTTTTACCAGTATGAGCTATGGTATCCGGATTTCATATGATGATTACTGTCGTAATGAGTCCGGAGAACCTACCCTCGTCATATTGGATACAGGCATTGCTCTCGAACAGAAACCACAAAATTTGCAAAAACTTCGTCTTCTTTTTCGAGCAGTTGTCGATAAAAGAGTTAGTTAATCTAATATCCATGTGACTGTATTAAATTTAACGATTGTATTTGATATTACAGAAAACGCAGATGAATGCTAACAATGTGAGTCCTTCTTGTTACCATATCTGTTAACACTGCTAACATCAAGAGCAATAATTTCGTTACAGTGATATTTTAAACTTTAGCCGTCGTCTTATTAGATGACTGCTACTAAGTTATATCAATCGTATTACCCTGTTTAGAAATGAAGTGGTTCCTCATTAGATTTTGCTGGCAAAATTCCGAAAACTTTGTTTACACTAGTGGGTTTCTAAATGAAGTATACTGACGTATGCAAACTGAAATAACTTAGATAAAGGATACACGAATTGCAGGGGCGTGATGTTGGTGAATTATTACTCTTGCATTCTCCAAAACAGCGCTGCAAAGATCCCGAAGCATTTTATGATGAGGTGGATCAGATCGTTCAAATAGCACGCTCCAAAAGCAATTTGAGAAGGGTATGCTGTTGTTAAGTCTACCATAGTCAGCCATTTTCTTACTTCTTGTCTACAGATGGTGTTGTTATCACGATGGGAGAGACTTTAATGAATCTCGTGAACAACTTTCACTATACAAATCATCAAATCGTTATATTTGATTCACCAAGAGGCCAATCTATAGGTTACTTAGAATATCCTGATATATGCCGGTTAATGAGCACCTATGGTTTTCTCAACAAACCTGTGCAGATCGTTCACTCTGTAATGGAGTTTCAGGAATTCAGTAAAAATTAGGATAATATATTCTTTACTATTTTATTGCAGTCGTTTAAAAGAGTATTAAAGTTGTTAAATTGTTATAAATTCTGAATCACTCGAAGTAATCGTTTTAAAGTTCATGCGTATATATATATATAACTTTTAATTAATTTTTTGCATGAATTAGTAATGACGCAATCCAGTAAGAAATTAATAGATTTTGCAACTTCATTTACAATAAAAGAAAATGCCCGAGTTTTCTGGAAGAAAACAAGTTTTACTAAATGTGGTTTATAGCTGAATATATCCGAAATGTTAAATGAATTATTTTCAATCGTAAGTCGTCATGAAGTTGCTCTGGATCCGTCATTTACGACAGTTGTGCTAGCAGTTATAGTTTTGGAAGGTTTGGGACGTTCGTTAGATCCTGATTTGGATCTCTTTCACTGTGCTCGACCTTTTCTTTTTTCCATGATTTAATTTTAGAATATCATTTGGAAATGTTTGCAGTTTTTTCTGTTGTGCTGAACGAAACGTGTTAGCGTTCAGTTTGGCAAAAAAAGAAATTAAGTTATTGGGAAGATTCAAGTGGTTATATGACTAATATTATGAATCAGTGATTATGAGTCGGACTGTTTTGAATGCCGATAAGAAACGGGTAGATTGAGTGTTTAGACGGTTTCAATTTTGGTGTTACTTTACAAAGAATTGCTTCACATTATGTTTTGTGAATAAAATTGTAAAATTAATGGAAATTGCTCTTGTTGTTTGTTTATTTCACACTCGTGTTTTTTGGTGTTATTTATGAATTGTCAGAATTAAAGAGCACTTCATATTGATTACAAATCTTGTATTGATAGAATACCCACATCCTACGATTATAAGATTTTAAAGATTTTTTAAAAATTGTTTTGATTTTAAATTGTCACTTTAATAGTGTTGACAGAGAGGAAGAAAAAATGAAGCAAAAAAGAAAGAAAGTGGGACGAGATGTATATTTCCACAATTTCTTTTATCGGTTAGCCAACAGTAATAGTTCAAGCATGTTTGGTTATCTTTTTTTCCAGTTTAGCGGAAGAAGTTAGTTATTATTAATAGCATAATAATTGTCTGCACTTATATCTTTATATGTATGATTATTTTGCATTCATAAGATTCATAATCCTTTTCAATCAGTGTTGCTACTGTGTGATAATGAAAGGTATGATTGGACTATGTGATGTGCAGCTCTGCTCTACTAATTCTAATTTATACATTTGTGAGTAACAAAGGTAATTAAATCAATTTTGAAATGTCTTTTATTTTAAAAATTTGTTTTTATAAAATCCTTGTCTTTGCTTTTTTAAATAATCTTTGCTAATAAAAAATCGATAATTACATAATTGCCCTCCTACTTTCGTCAGTAATATCGAAAAAATAATATCTTTTGTTAATAATATTAGCAGTAGTGGAATTGTGCAGTTTGAAGCAGTTTCTAATTTTGATTTATTTTAAATAGCTACTAATCAATTTTTTGCCTCATTATCAAGCTAAGCTTTTGTTATCTATTCAAACACATAATATACAATAGCTTTGTATGCTTTTGTTGAATTGTTGGATAATATAATCTGACTATGCATTATTATAGCAGTAACTTGCTTTGTTTACAACAAAGTAATGTCAACATATTCCGCTCATGGATCCTCCTTGACTAATTTTATGCGAACGGCCGAACGTGATGATGTGTTGTTGTATGTTACTGCAGCAGTTGGTATTTTAATGCCTGGATGTGTGTATATGTTTTATCAGTATGCCCACAAATTATACACTGGTTATGTTGAGGTAACGTTTTCTTCCATTAATAATTATGGTCTTACATTTGGCCATAGTATTAAGTCATAATAAATATTTTCTGGAGTTTTCTACAGTGGATGCTTTCCGGAATTTTTCTTAATAGATATCTTGTGAAATTTGGTATTCTTTACCTTCACGCTAACTAAAATTATACTAAAAATTTATTGCTGCAATGTATTCTACAGAAACGTGAATCACAGAAACGAGAAGAAGATTTAGAGAGGATAATGGTGACAATATTTTATGCTGAGGGGCGAGGAAATGCTGAAGCGCTGGCTTATCATATTGGTGCACATTTGGAGTACAAAGGATTACCAGTGGTTAATTTAGCTGATATTGAAACGGCGACTTTCATGAAATACAGGGTGAGGTTTTTTCTTTGTCGTATTTTTATTCATTGTAATTATTGCATTCCTTTGAAGGCAAATTATTGACTTATAAATAGCTGTACTAGTGAAATTAGGAATTGCCTAACACAACATTCTTACATTCCAAAACATTAGGATTTTTTGATCTTGACAGTGCATAGAAATGAAATGATTGGTTGTTGTTGTTGTTGGCATCATTATAGAAAAAAGTGCTTCCATAACAATTGAAATTATTCATTCATTTTATAGGGTATTGGTTTATTCCTGATGGACTGTACATTTGACGGAAATGAGTTGGAAAGCACTGAATGGTTTCTGGAATTTCTGGAAGATCTGGCTTTCAACCAGAAAGCGACTAATTTACCATGTCGACAAATGCATTTCGCTGTTCTCGGTATTGGCGACCCACGTAGCGGTCACAAACAGTATAACCGAGTCGGTCATTCTTTCTAATTGCAATTTTATATTCTTCTAGTTTCTTTATTTTAATAAATGTGTTTGAGCTGATAATAAATTGTAGGTAGCTAGAGCTTTGACAAGGCGATTAAATTCCATTGGGGCTGTTGCTCTTTATCCGTTATGTTATATTTGCAGCCACTCGAAAGCAGGTAAGCAACTTCTTCATTTATATTTTGAAAAAGTCAGTAATACGGGAAATAATGGAGGATTATGAAGCAGAACTTAGATTAGAAAATTTTTTCGAACTCGTCTTGTAAATTCTACTCATCCTTTTTTCTTGCTATTATTATTGCTCTCTTATTATTACTACTATTATTACTGCTGGTATTATTAGTATTATTAATGTTATGCAATGTGTAAAACTTGGCAGAACAACAAAATATTCACTTAATCAGGATTAGAAAAGCAAGCAGCGGGTTGGGCATCTTGCATAGCGAAAGTGGTGGATAAATACACGACAAGAATTACAAAATGTTCACGAAGCTTCTGGTATTACAATAGTGAGAGTAGCAGTAATAAAAGTGATACGGATGGCGATGAGCAGGAATTTCTTTCTGACCATGTGTAAGCTTTTCATGTATATCTTTCCTGAACTTATTTATTCATTGAGTTATTGTTGTAATTCCTCCTTTCTCATAGTTTTAATATAGTTCCATTATTTTCACAAACTTTTCGTTTTATATGAAAACAAATCTCCAAGATTTCAGTTTGTTGTTTCAAGTTAAATTTCTCCTCTGACGTAAATTTTATTTATTTATTCAAAATGTGAAGTGTGTCTGTAAAGATTGTACAACAGATCAAACTAAACAGTCAACGTGTGAGATTGGGGTGTAGGTGATCGTTTCTTTAATTTTATTTATATGTTCATGGAATATGTTTAATAAAATTAAGTCTTTTCTCTTTTTTTGTCTTTTGTCTTTCGTTCACTTGATATTTGTTATTTGGATTCTTTCAGAGATTACATCCATGAATCAGAAAACGATGCTGATGGAGATGACTGAAGAATATCTTCGAAGGAAAGTCCGGTATATTCACTGATGAATATAGAAATGTAACTGAAGACAAAAGAAAGGATATGACTGTTCCGTACGTGAAGGATTATTAAACCGTGAAATGACCAATGCATCAAGTGTATGTATGTATATAAGCAATTGTATCACTGTTTTGTTTGCTCAGTATTACTCTATTTTCTTATACATACGTAGTCATAGCGTTTTCTGTCATAAATTTGTGATTTTTCCCAATTTTCTAACCTCTTATAAAAATTTCTCTCCGTTATCTTCTTTTACTTTTTGTAATCAGAGCTTCTCACCTCTCTTTTACTCCCATCTGAAGAGCTTATTCTGTAGTACTTTAATTGTTACGTAATGATTGCTGTTATAAGTAATTGTTGTATTATTTGTTTTCCTTGGCATGCTATAGGGAGAGCCAAGTTATGTTGGAAAGAAAAAATGTTAAAAAAAATGTTAAAAGATGATATAATTGCTCTGATCCTCAACCTGCTACTGAACAATAAGATACACTGTCTTTTCTGTTATCCTTTTCACAACTACTGCACAGGTTTTTTTTCTTATCTTTTTTCTAAGAGTGAACAATCAGAACATCGTCAACTATCCGTTGTCATATGCGCATATACGTAGTATTAACAAAAATGTTACATAAAGATGGTGTTGTTTGTCAATGATCGCGTATTGAAGGAACGAGTACCCATCCAGTCTTTCATGCCCATCGTAAGAGCAGTTGATAGGATATCATTTAACACAGTTTATCGTGCGGGAGCAATTTTAATTAATTGGACTATGGTAGGTTCAGAGCAAGGAGATTCACTGATTTGACAAGTCATTTTTGGCTTGTGTAAATCATTTTATTAGGCTTATATGTATGACTCTTAGGAAGTGTCCATTCCCTCTAAGCAGTTGGGACATTTCACTGAAGCCTAATTATGTCCTGACTTGACCGATGTGGTACCTTCAAATAGCTTGCAAAGAGTGCACGCACACATGCACGTACCATACACACATACATTAGCTGGGTCATCTCCACACAAGCCAGGCTGAATAGTCCACGTCACTATAGATACGCGCGTACATACAGAGAAAAAATCATAGAGACAGACGAAAAGACACGCAAAGAGAGAAAGAGAGAGAGAGGGGGGAAATGTCGCCGAGTTGCGGATTGACTGACTGAAATGGGTAGATTTGAAGGACGTTGGTTACACACACATACATAGTACTATGATGATGCTGACACTGGTTGGTTGTGTCCTTTTTGGGTTTTGTTACATCTCAAGGGTTTGGTTTTCAGGTTTAAACCTGTTACTTAAACCTGTTATTAGACATCAACGTGAACTTCACCGTTGATTACGTCGTCAAATATTGGTTTAGTATTTACCTTTTACCTTTACTTACCCATAACTTTTTTTCAAATGTCGATCAATATTCAACGTAGAAGTCATGTTATCAATAAGAAGGAATAGGTCATATCCGAATATAGAGTATATTAACATGCTGACTTTTATGTGTCCATTTACGCATCCGAATGGACCACGGTAGGCGCAACAAGTAAGTATAGTAGTCCTCGGTAGCAATTGTTGGTCGGAAAATGTTTCGTCTTTTTTTTTTGGAATGGTAATATATTTTGTGCCTTTTTTGTGCTAACCTTTTCTGATGATCGTTTTTGCGTCTGTTAGTATTCCATAATCCTTCCATTGTAATTATTGAATATAATCGGTCGATGGCGCTTGAAAATGACGTTAAGAAACTCGACAAATGAAGATATATTAGAATCATTAGTGCGTATTACATTGTGGCTCGCTCACTTGGATTTCGTCTTGGCTTGTCACCATTTTGACACTTTTCGTTGTTTTCTTTTCACTTTGATGGTATATTCGTGCATAGTTTGATCTGATAGGAAGTAGAAGATATTAGGTGGGATTGATAATGCGCGAGAGAAAAGTTCATCATCTCCATTTCCCATTCATTTCTTGAGATTTCACCAAATGAAATCCTCAAGATTATCCAACTCAACGATGCTTATTTGCCACTGCCGCGAACATACTTAAAACGCAACTCAGAGTTAATTATTACGATCATAACGATTTCTGTCATACTGTTGGTTGTCTGTTCTATTTCGTTTCTGATGCGTAAGGATCTCAAAATGTAATCATTGTTGAAGAATGGTTCTGTAACGCGAATTGCACATGTTTCGTCGATGTATTAATCTTTACCATACGAATTCTCTTGCCGTATGCCATCATCCATAGTGACAATATTGTTGTTGTTCTGTTCCAGTCATATCATTCCGGTAAACAGTGTTTGGAAGACTTTATCCATCCTTTTAATTCAGATGGCAATGCTATCTGTACATGTTATTAATACTGTTTTGCAATTGAACGTCAGACAGCTTACTTTTTATTCTGCCTTGCTCCCTCTTTGTCTGTTTCTGTTTATTGAATAAACGGTTGAAAGTAAAAATGATTTATAGCTGTATACGCTGTGAAATAGATGCTTATGGGATGCAAGTAAACAGTGCTTGACGTCTATGGTAGTTAAATATGCTTTGATCTCCTTCATTTCGAATTCACGAGACTGACTTTGTCTGATACATGTTTTCAAATACCTTTTCCCGACTTTCATATTCCTGAAATTAATAGCATAATTGAATTTCAAACTGAGGAAGACTGATCTGTTCCATGGATCGCATTTCAGATGCATTCCATCAAAGGCTTTGGCTGGTCGTTGTTTATGTCTTTAAAAAAAAAAAAAAAAAAAAAAGTTCTCCAGGATAAAATATTGTGATAAATTATAGGACAATATTTCTGAATCAAAAAATGCTTTTCTCAAAATTTCCGGTTCACTTGTCACAATGATAGAGAAGTGAGACTTTATTCACTCTTTTACATATATGAAATTTTAGAATTGGCTATTGAGGAATGGCTGTTCGTATTTTGCTCCATTTGATATATAAATCTGCTGGATGAGTTCAACTTGTTTCTTCCTATAGTGTTAGTTGTAGAGGTATAATTGAATGATAGTGATGGCTGACTCATCGTTTTTAAGAACTGGTTGTGGTGTGCGAGAATTGCTTCTTTTTATCATCATACTATCATTATTTTTTACATATGTTCTTCGCGAATTGCAGCATTCATTGCTGTTGGCGACTGAAGCAAGATGCAAGTAAAATTTTCGAATGGAAATAATTGTTAAAAGTAGCTTCTAAGATTATTCTAATTGTTGTTCTCAGATTGTTTCTTCGATAAGAGGAAGGTGTTAATTAAGGATTTAAAGGGTTGTGTGAAATAGCTTTTTTTTTTAACTTAATGGAATGGGAACATTTTGTATCATCGGTCCTCAGTTGTCGATTAGCAGTTGGTCTGTGAACATATTCGCTGTAGAATGTACTCGACATTTTACTATTATCTATCTCAGCCTTAAGATATGAATGTTATATGAAGAAAAGTGTGCAGGAGAGTAGACGAAACATTTGGAGAATGTAATTTGCATGATGAAAATGAACCACAGAAGGCGAAAATATTACAACAAAACAAGGGACAGCTTAGCATGTGCCTTTCTACTCTCCGATCAAGTGAAAATGATTCTTTGAAGATGATAACGTTCTTGGCTTCATAAATTCAATCTGGTGGTGTGTATTTAGGTTTTTCAATTATTGACATGCGCAAACAGTTGATACAGCTGTCGAGTTGTGTCTTACCGTATCCATTGTGATATTAGTGGTACTTTTTAAAATTACCAGCAGCCAAGTATAAGTTGCCAATTACGAATTAATTATGGATCCTGCCAAATTTATTGTAATTAATGCTTTTATTGCTCCATGTTTTTTCATTTTCGTCTTTGTTTTGTTTTTTCCTTTCATTGACTTGTATTCGTTTGAAATTGAGAGCAAGTCATGAATAGTAAATAATAAGTTGAAACACATTTTCGAGTGCTGAGACGAAGACTGGCTCCTTAGGGTGGCTTTTCCAGCAATTTACGTATGTTCGTTTCAGATAATTAATGATGTTTGTTCTTATTGTTTCGAACGATTCCCCGTACGGTTTTCCGTTTTCGTTTTCTTTTATCATTAATTGCACCAAAAAAACCGTGTGAAATTTCAGTGCAATTGGTGTACATTTTCTGCTTTTATCCTACCACTAGTTTCCAACCAGCAACAATGTCTTCACTTCTACCGATCAAATTTCAGGAACATGTCTTGGTGAGTTTATTCAGTCTGTTTTTTCTCCATAACTCTGACAATGAGTGGTATAGTTTAAGATGTTAAATCGCATCCATATTATAAAATGGACAAACGGAACTTCTACATTATCTCTTCACTTTTGATTCTTTTGGTTTCCTTTTCTAACGAATTTCATAATTAGCTCATTCTTCTTGGACTAATAATCATACTTGAAAATGTAGGTTCTCTGCGGAAAAAAATATAGAAACTGGAGTATAAGTCTAATAAGGTAAGATTAATTAATATAAAATCATCTCGCCAAAAGTGTGCATGTATACATCTTTCGATTATGGCTTTAAGTTCAACTTTTTTCAGTTACAAAGTCTGGGTATAAATGCGGCAAATATCGGATTTGCAACATTAACGATGGAGTCGGACAAATTTATTGTTGTGAGAGAAAAAGTTGGTGAGAATGCTCAAGTTGTTATTGTTGATATGAATGACGTCAACAGTCCTCTTCGCCGACCAATCACTGCAGATTCAGTGATCATGAATCCTGCAACAAAAGTTCTAGCTTTAAAGTGTAAGTTTTATTAATACCAAGGCCTTCTTATCGTCCGGTCATCTGTGTCACAAAAAACTCCTTCTAAACTGTTCTATTAAAATAATAAAACGATTTATTCAGCATCTCGTACCCTTCAAATTTTCAACATTGAACTGAAAGCCAAGATGAAAGCACACAATATGCCAGAAGATGTGATCTTTTGGAAATGGGTCAATGTCAATACAATTGCATTAGTATCGGAAACTGCTGCATATCATTGGTCACTACAAGGTTATTCCTTTATCTTTTTCTTCCGAAGCAGCACAACTATCTACGTAATATACTTCCACTGATGATAACAACTGATAAAAACTAAACATTCAGCTAATCATATATTGATCTTGTCTTCTTCCTAGTTAAGCTTCCACTAGTTCGTTCATAGATTCGTTTTATATATCTCGAAATTCAATTTGCAGGTGACTCACCTCCTGTAAAAATGTTTGAAAGGCATTCAACATTAAGTGGATTCCAGATAATTAATTATCGAGCAGACGCGGAATGCAAATGGTTGTTGGTGATTGGAATTGCTGCTAAGGTACTCTTTACCAACCTTAGTTGTCTTCTGTATTATTAAGAATGTTAATTGCAGCGCAATATACAAGTGATTTTATATATCGTAATTTTTTTCGTAATTTTTGCAAACATATACGAGTTCATCCTCAGTTTTTGGAAAACATGGTGAATGGACATTATTGGCTCGTTTAAATTCTGCATTTATCTCCATTTTGAGCGATTTACCGTTATTGAAATTTCAAGTAAGATATAAGTTATCATTAAACACAGGATAATCGTGTGGTTGGCGCAATGCAGTTATATAGTACGGAGAGGAAGGTATCACAGCCAATTGAAGGACATGCAGCATGCTTCGTGAGCTTTAAAATTGAAGGAAATCCACATCCTAGTAATTTATTCTGCTTCTCCGTTCGAACCGCACAAGGCGGAAAGGTTATCATCTTTTGTTATCTGTTAAACCTTAACGGATAAAATGATTAGAAAAAATTACCTCTGTATCGGTAGGAAGAGTTTGTAAATTGTGTAATCCTCCCGTAGGCACAGCTTTTTTTGATTTCTGAAAAAGTTGTTCGGTCGAGGGAGGGTAAATTGTTTGTGCGTTTTATAGTGCATGTTATCAAATTTCTTGATGGTATGTCTTCCGCCAAATGCAACATATTTTACAACATGCGAACGTTTCGATCTTTTGTTAGCAGTAGTTGTTGTCTTTTCTTTTTGCTTGATGTCTCTTAACTTCCCACAGGAAGCTTGTAACATCTCTGATTAGCTTGCTTTAATGCTTCAGTTATAAATCAGTGGTTGATTATTTCAGCTTCATGTTATCGAGATAGGTAGCCCACCAGCTGGTAATCAACCTTTCCAGAAGAAACAGGTAGAAGTGTATTATCCAG